TTCTTCTTCTTTCTCTTTTCTTTCTTCTTTCTTCTTCTCTACTTTGACCTAGAAACAACTAGGGTTTATTCACAAAGAGAATTGATTAAAAAGAAGGAATAAATCAAAGGAGATAGCAGCAGCAAGAAGGAGGAGAAGAAGAAGAGGAGAAGAGTTTGGTTGTGAGAAGGGTGAAGAGAAGGCTTGTTCGTACAGCTCCTCCTTCCCCTAATCTTTTCATTAAAAAATTAATCACTAATTTCTGAAATTACAAGTAGGCCCTTAATTGGGCGGCCAGCTAATTCAACAAAATAAAAAGAGTTTAACAGGCCCATAAGAGAAGGCCCATTAACAAAAATAGAACAGAAATATAAAGATAAGTGACGACTGTGGGTTATGGGCCATTTGGCTCATCTTCTCTACATAAATTAACAGTTGACTTTAGGGATCAACTCATGAAATGTAAAATAGAGAGAAGCATGATACTTTTTTATTTTTTCTTTTAAAGAATAACAACTCTGGTGGTGTAGACTGCAGATGTCTCGAATGTAAATGACCTAATGTTGAATTTCATATGGATATGCATATCTCAGGTGTAATATAACAATTAATCATTTTCCAATAGAAAGGGAAAAAGAAAAATTAATTTTCTGTATATACTTTGCTAATTGTTGAAGATTTGAATAATACCAGCACCTTGCTAGGATCCTTGAAACCCAAGAATAAATATTTAGAGGGCAAGTTGTGCTTAGTTGTATACAAACTACTTCACCCACCGTTAAGCAATAATTATAGCATTACATCATTTAGCAAAAGGTTGCATGATAGGCAATAGCAAGTACAAACCAGCAGCTTCGGCCTGTTTGGATATGGTGTAGAAGGATGTTGGATTTGAACATGTAGGGTGTGAAGCAATTGTAGCAGTTGCAGATTTGAAGAGGGTGACAATTGGGCTATCACCAGGTTGAGAATGCAATATTTGTCCATCAGCTCCAGGAATCAAGCCCAACCATGGAGCAGTCTGCATGAAATGTGTGGTATCAGCTTCCCTCTGTCATGCATGTTATTTTACAACTGTTAGAAACAGCCATTAGAACATTGAAAGATGATATCGATTCATTCAGAGATAGATGGTTGAATTACAACAATAAATGACCTATGAAGAACATCATATTTGTAATCAGAATAGGTGGTTACTGGTTAAATTCTTATAGATCATAGTCAAATCTAATGCCAAATTATCATCTCTATTCTCCTCAACAAATGCCACAAATTGAACCAAAAACTTTCAGTCAGCTATGTTACTAATGACTAGTCTTTTGTATGGCCTCTATTTGTACAAATCAAGATGATAACTTTGTTTTTTGTTCAATATATACTTGCAAAACTCCTTATACCAAAAATGTAAAGAATAAAGGAAATTAAAAGTAAATTGCTGAAAGACTATGGAAATAAAAGACAGCTATTGGTATTGAGTTGCTGGGTTGACCTTGTTTTTCTTCTTTATAGTTATTCTTTACTTCTTTTTGTGTTAATGGGACTTTATTAATGGGCCTAATAGCTTATTACTTGATGTTTAAGTGTGCAGCCACCCTATCTAAGGGTGTTTAAGTTTTTGTACTTAAATTGTACTTGAGAATTAAAAGTAGAGTGGGCTGGAGAGAGAATCACAATCAACTCTCTTCTCCTAACCCTTTTGTTCCACCATCTCTTCTTCTCCTCTTTGTCTGAAACCTTTCTTCCTCTCTTCCATCTTCACACACTCAAAATTCTCAACTTTTTTCCTTGTTTGTTTTTCTTCTATAATGAAGAAGGGCAAATGTTGGTTTTGACTTTTTCCCTAGAGCTAACTCCATCATGATGATTCATGATCTTAACTCATTAAGCTCTGTATTCAACTCACAAGCAAATCAAGTTTTAATCTTCAGCATCAATTAAAGCCATATATATGACCTTCAACACCTAAGAGAAAGATGAAAAGTATGTAAGACACCAGAATTCTAATCTCAGACATGAGCTTTGTTTTCATGTCCTAAAGATGGAGGTCCAAAAGTAACATAGGCTGCCAGTGCCACAGCTACTGACGGTCTGACACTGCAGTTGGGGTTGAAGATTCTAGTATGGTTTCCGAAAATTGAGATGAAAGGCACAATAAAGTGTTGCTGGATTTATTGATTTTTGGTATAAGTGGAGGAATCTATTTTATAGGAAAAAGGGTAGAGAGAGACCTAAAGCCAGAATCTTTAGGAAGAGGGTGAAAGGCCATAAAAGGAAGCATATCCAGATTTTGGTGTTGCATTCTGTAGCACTATGATACATTCATATCTATATACCACTGTAGTTCATGAAATAGATTTTGATTCCAAACAGTTATGAAAACTGATTCTTGTTGGCAGAAGATATTATTCTAACCAGCACAGTATCAAGAAGCCCCAGCAAATATAATACACTTCCAATTTCTTTTATGCCATGCAGAACCTCTGACTTTAGTTCTAACTTTGATCCCCAGTTCAATTGTTCTCTGACTATTCTTTGACAGCCTGCAGATAGAAATTAGACATATATTAAAATATATCAGGTGATGTGGGAAAAAATGAAAGAACAAATAATTTAGAACAAATGGGTTCAGTTTAAGATCTTCATTATCTTTGTTTTTTAAGCAAAAATTCAGAATTCATGTAAAAAAGGAATCTGGAAATAAGTTATGTGCTGGGTCCCAACCTGATGCTACCTTTCTCCTTAACACAGGTTAAAAAAAACAGTTTAAGATAAGCTAAAAAYTGGTTTACAAGTATATGATATACCCTCTATGTGGTCTAATAAAAGGATCAAGTCTGCAATAAAGCAAAGAATAGATTACCTTCCTTTACATATGTTAGACTCATGTTAGTTTAGAATGTTTTCATCAATTGGATAGACTTGGGAAGTTTATCCTAACAAGGCTGACACTGGTGTGTTGCCAAATTGGTGGAGMAGCTTGTCTTAGCTGCTAGGGTTGGACCCTAAGCACAGCCAGTGGGTGTTTGGAAGAAACGCTAAACTCAAACCAATTTCCAGTTATGCCCTAGACTTTGGAGATGGATAAGCAAAACCGGAAAGTTAAAACTTAACCCTAGACTTGATTATGACATTGCACTAGGTTTTGGACTGAATTGTCTTTGATATGCCAACCAATGAGATCCATCAAGGGTCAAATATCTGGGTATGTTGGGGCTGTTAGACAGTGTATGCCCTTAGATCCAATCAAAATGATGTACATAGCATTTATTTGTAAATGAATAAAGTACATTATTGTTTCATGTTGATATTGGTATGTTTTTTGTGAATTATCCCTTAAACTGGACATTTATGAGACTCGTGTTAGTTTAGAATGTTTTTAGCCGTTGGATAGACTTGGGGAATTTATTTTTCCAAAGTTGACACTGGTGTGTTGCCAAATAGGTGGAGCAGCTTGTCTCAACTACTAGGGTTAGACCCCAAACATTGAACCCGAACCGGTTTCCAGCTATGCCTTGGACTTTGGAGATAGATGGGAAAAACTGGAAAGTTACACATAACCCCAATGTGTGTTTAGAATGTTCTCTTTGAATTCTTTCCAATTGGTCCACTATCTTTGCCAGAATCTTAATGATAGATAAATAGTATAAAGGCAAACTAGCAAAAACACCTCTGATAAGATTGATGCTACAACCCAATTACAAATATCTACCAAATTATTCACCAATATGTGTATCCATCCGATGAGGAATTCAGATTAGAGGCCACTGTTCTAGCTTGTCTTGCCAAAAATCTCAGCAATGAAAGCATATCCTACCCTGATTTTAATCAATTACTAAATACTTGGCAGTCTCCCTCTACTTGCAGTTCAGCAATCCTGCTAATTAGGCAAGCTTTAATCCTTGCAATAAAGAACAATTGGAGAAGATGAGTTGTTGCGATCCATTTGTCCCACATTGGTAGTATGGGATGCTAATGTGTGATATCCCACATCGGTGGTATGGGATACTGTTGTGCTTGGGTTCCCTCCCTCTAACAGCTAGCTTTTAGGGGTGAGTTCTCCCAAGGCACGTATCATGAGTTCACCGTAGGTGCAATCACATCAACAACAGGAGAAGGCAAACCATTAGGAAAACTTGAAATAGCAGCCACATTACCTTAGTTTGGTGGCATCAGGTTGGAACAATCTGTAGATTGGGAAGGACAGTCTAGCCTTCTATGGCAACTGCTTTTCCAAATTGGCCACAGTCAAGATCATCAATACACATTAGAGCTGGTGGACTGTATAATCTTGATGGAGGTGGTTCGACAACAACTCTTCAGTCATCTCTCTCCCCTCATTAGTGGCACTGCAGACTTGGTCATCCGTCTCTTAGAGCTCTTCAGTTACTTGTTCCATCGTTGCGTCGTCTTTTTAATTTAAATTGTGAGTTGTGTCAGTTTGGGAAATATCATCATGTCTCCTTTAGTCCTAGAGTTGATAGTCGTACATCGAGTCCTTTTTCTTTAGTTCATTCGAACATCTGGGGTCCAAACAGAGTAGTGTCTTATAATGGTTACAAGTACTTAGTAATTTTTGTTGATGATTATTCAAGGATGACATGGCTTTACCTTATGAAAGAAAAGAGTGAATTGTTTTCTATCTTCCAAAAATTTTATGCTGAAATTCGCAATCAATTTGGTGTACATATTAAAATTCTTCGTTCTGATAATGACCGCGAGTATTTTTCCACACACTTTCAAGAATATTTGGAACAACATGGCATTATCCATCAAACCTCATGTACCTACACCCCTCAACAAAAT